TCTTAATCATCGTTTAGGCCTACGTCAAAGTCAACTAAAGCAGAAGTCACGTTAAACTCCTGTGTCATCGTTGGTAGGTTTGCTGCTTCAGGTACTTTGATAATTGAACTTCGCAAAGCTTCTGCGACCTCTGGCCGAAGTTTAGAAGGAGGAATTCTCCGATTTCTTCGCCATCTATCCAAAACATCCGTTGCTTGTTGCACTGACTGAACCACAAGTTTTAGAATTTGAGGGCAGCATCCTCTATGTTTTGACGAGAGAGGTATCCTGGCGAGCGAAAGCGTCACAATATTATCCAAAAATGTGATTCACGCATGAACGGCCACTGTTTTAAATAATGTTTTCCGGTCCTTTGAACATCCTTAGAAAGATGTGCTGACACGTTATATATAATGCTAGTGTTTAGGCGGGTTCTTGGTTTGCTGTGTCCCTCCTTCGGTGCTTCTTTTGGATTGTTGCGTGTTCCAAGGGACATCAAACTAGATCCGTATCCCACCGGATTCCGGGTGTTAGCGCGCTTGCAAAGAGCAAAACGTTTATAAGTCGGTGGGAGATTCTAATGTTACTCGGATTAGTCTGGTTTGGCAATAGTGTGGCGAGTTCGGATGACGAGTAACTCGTAATAGGTTTATGGGCTTGGTTTTGACACTCATCAGCACGCAAAATTTCCATTAGTCTTGGTGCTCCGATAACTTATTCCCCAATGTGATGATGGTAGATCAAGGACATTTGAGCACACAACAGTCAAGGCACTATTGTTGTATCCTTTTTCGTTGATCTACTGGGTATGGTCCTCGTTTGTCCTGACCTGCTGACAAGTGTTGATTGTTTGTTGTTTGTGTCGCTATTCGCGTCAACGGTGTTTACAGCAGAAGAGGCCGTAACGGTGGCCTCCCGACTTACCTTTGCAGCTATCTCTGTATATGTGGCTGAAGTTCCGGGTGCTTTGTCTCGACCGGAGACATTTGAGCTACAGGTACCGAGGGTTAGTGTTCGGTCCCTTCATCCTTGTTAATGCTAGATGTCAGGTCTAGTGAAATTTGCTTAATCAGACGTTCCGAGTGGTGCCTGATTTTCATTGCCAGGAGTACTGTTCGACTCTCGTAGGTATGGTCAGTTTTCGCTCGGCGTTCTACCAAAGTTGGAGAGAACAACGGAGATGGGGACGTGAGTGATTGCGGTTCAGGGAAAGCGGATTGTACATCATTCCGTTTATTAGAGGCGGTTATGCCTCCCTGGAGCCATACTCGCTTCCCATTAAAGTAATCTTATCGCTTATGCTCTACTCGGCTTCCACGGTTGACCGGACGCACTTCTGAACTAGGATGAGCAAGAACTTAACGAGTGGGATGGTCGAGCACGCAGTACAGAACCAAAGCGCATCTGTTGAGCTAGTTTGCTCTCGTATGTGTTGTTGGGACAAGTTTACACATTTCAAATGATACAATTCCAAACAGTGCGAACAAGCCAAACCTACTGTAACTAACCGATGACATCCTTCTAACCCGCAAATGCCTTTGTTGGACCTTTTCGGATTCGCATTTCTGCATTCAACCTGGTGTTCCCGTTACCTACCCATAAGTGGTTAGCGTTTCTGTACTTTACAGCTTTGGGAGCGGCGCACATCGTCCAGCGAGCACGTGTGGTTACAAGGTCAAATGACTGGTCGACATGGTCGCGCCCTTCCTGTGATGGGTTATGCAGACGCACTGGCTGACAAGGTCACAAGGAATGGCGAGTGACTGGAACCTGATACCTGAATATGAACACAACGCTGCACACAGGTTGAAAGATCACAAACGCTTTCACAGTTGCGTTGAGAAATGCCGGATTGGAATAAGTTTAAGCTTTTCGGGCTGCCTCGAGAATTCTATATCAAATGGTGTCACACAGAAAGGCAATCGGCTCAATGTGATTGAGTTATCCGCTTGCGCTTAATCACGAATGACAGTTAAAATGGTTAGTGATGGCACGGACTTTAATCGTAGAAGATAATTCCACGTATGATGGATCACTGTGTAGGGCTGGTAAATCCGGTTCGAATGAGCGTACAGTGACAACGCTGCGAGAACATGGAGAGAGGAGAGAAAGGAAAAATTCAAATGAACCAGGAGCACGCACGTCACGCGTCCGTTTCTTGTTGAGGACATGAAGAGAGAAAGAATGTTTCCCAATCCATCAAATGAAAGAGGTCCTTGAACAAGTTCCAGTTGACGAAATTGAACAAACGTCAATGCACTTGGTGTCGTAAATCGGCCATGCGTACTCTTAGGCAGCATTTGACCACCCGATGATCGATCTTGGAAATTCATCACTAAGGTTAATACTGATCACAGACATGCCCAACAAAAGAATGAGATGCAGAGTATTTGCGCCTGTGGTAATTTTACACTACGCAGGCATGTCGGGTTTAATATCATTAGTTTGCAGTCTAAAAGTGGTGAGCTCAAATGACACGTGAACTGCTTTGAGGATGGTCGCCTTACCTTGGGGAGAGCTGATGTAATGCGGGCATTTGCGAATTCACGATCAGCATATACACGGGTTCTTCAGGCAGACAGGCAACACTGTATTGACGCAGTGCATTTTATTCAATGTAAATAAACAAATCAAGTCAAGATGGAATGGGCGTTATACAGCGGATGAATGCATTTTCACAGTTTTCCGCAGCCAAACAATTATAATACTAGGAGCAGAGTTTCACTTCGGTGGGCACTGGATGCTACATTGCAAACCTTCGCAATGGGAAGTAGCGCCAGTGGGATAACGACTATGATCCACCATTGGTTCAACAAATGTTCAGAATCCGAAAGCAATCCACTCTGTCGTTTGGATAGCCAGTAAGAAAAGGATATTACTAACGTTCACATTTCTGGTAGTAAGGGTGAGGAAACAGATTTGTTAATAATTGTCAGGCGGATGGCTTTCTGGTTGCAAGTGGTGAAAAGAACGTTTGTAAACATAAAGGTATAGCGTCCCGAAGCGCTACCAACTCAAAGAAATTTGACTGCATACCGCGATCCACCCGAGTCAAGCACTTTTGGTATTTCTGCTTATGGTAATCATGTATACTGGAGTCATTGATTAAGTATTGGCAGAGTGCATTTGACAAAGCCAAACTCACTAGAGTCCATGCCTGTCAATAAAACGATTTTTACAACTCTACTATCGGTGTGAGAGTCTCGCAGCCGCTGCATCTCATTCTTTTGTTGGGCATGTCTGTGATCAGTATTAACCTTAGTGATGAATTTCCAAGATCGATCATCGGGTGGTCAAATGCTGCCTAAGAGTACGCATGGCCGATTTACGACACCAAGTGCATTGACGTTTGTTCAATTTCGTCAACTGGAACTTGTTCAAGGACCTCTTTCATTTGATGGATTGGGAAACATTCTTTCTCTCTTCATGTCCTCAACAAGAAACGGACGCGTGACGTGCGTGCTCCTGGTTCATTTGAATTATTCCTTTCTATCCTCTCTCTATCTGCTCGCAGCGTTGTCACAGTACGCTCATTCGAACCGGATTTACCAACCATACACAGTGATCCATCACACGTGGAATTATCTTCTACGATTAGAGTCCGTGTCATCACTAAGCGTTTTTACTGTCATCCGTGATTAAGCGCAAGCTGATAACTCTATCACATTGAGCCGATTGCATTTCTGTGTGACACCACTCCATAAAGATTTCATGAGGCAGTCCGAAAAGCCTAAGCTTATTCCAATGCGTCGTTTCTGAACGCAGGGGTGAAAGAATATGTTATCCCTCAACCTGGGTTCAACGATGTGTTCAGATTGAGTTAGCAGGTTCCAGTCACTCGCCTTTCCTTGTGACCTTGTCAGCCAGTGCGTCTGCATAACCCATCACACGGACCGTGCGACCACGTCGACCGCTCGTGTGAGCTTGCAACCACTACGCTCGTCTGACCGATGTGCGCCCACATGAAGTTCGCAGGAGTCATTTTCACAAGCATCAATAATAGCACTAACCTAACAGTTAGCTGTGGTGTTTCCACGTTACTGAAACATAAAGTTAAAGGTGTCAATTTGCTAACAGCACACAAGACGCGGGGTTAAGAAGGGATTAGTGTGAGACCAATTGACCAGTATGTTAGTGTGTGATTTTTGTGGGATCCAATTGGTCAATGAATCATTGGTTAATCTGAGAAGCAAATTCATCAAGATTCTTCTCCGGTAACTTGGAATGAAGTGAACTGTAAGTTGTGTCCAAGGTACACGCCAAATTCTGTAAATCCTGTTCACATTTCGTAACCCATCATGGATATCAGCGGTATAAACTAGCTAGTGGTATTTTTAGCTGACTCGGAAAAGCCCGTTTCTGTAAGCAGTTACTCCGCTGAGTGATTGATAGCATTTCCACATGACAGAATCACGAAGCATGCTTTGCATCAGTAAGTTAAGTCGTTGCTCAACTAATTGACTTCAGAGTCAGAAGATCGTGCTGATAGCCCGATTAAAGCCCACATCGCCAGCAGCGCGAACTGCATACAAGTAGACCAAAAGACAGCGGAAATGTAATGTCCCGAATTCAGTTCCGGGAAGGGAGAGAGTAAAAATGCATTGTCACCCTAATGAACCAGTTTAAGTGGTCTCAACAGCCGGACAGCAGGCAAAGATGTCAGTTTCGGTTCAATGCTAGGGCTAAAGGGGAAAACGTAATTTCAGCCGAATCTAATTTATCGGTATTTCGGTAGCATACACACAAGAATGGGAAATCGAATGATTTGGATTACTGTGCCTCTGGTTCAATGAACAGAAGTAATGGCCGAACAAACACATATTGAGCATATCTAACTGTTCAAACAAATGTTCCTAACTTCAGATGCAGCTAGGATGCTGCGAACAACAATACAAACCTGAACGAATCGTTGAGTTGCTTGTCACTAAGTTAACCCCCAATGGTATTATGATTGTGAATATGTGAACCACAAAAATTAAATTTCGGCCCTTGATTTGTTTCCAGATCGCTGCTCCAAAAGGAGCTTCACAGTGCTGAGCGACGTATAAGTGAACTTAAAGAAACGTCAGCAAGCCGGGAAAAGGAGATTAAACAGGCCATAGAGCATGCAAGCTGTGAGCAACGCCGCTTGATCGAGGCACGTAATCAACTGCAGAACGGACTAGATCAAGTCAGTGCGAATGCATCTGAACTGCGCACCACTTTGTGCGGAGCGGAAGAGAAAATCGCTTGTCTAGAAGCCCGATTGCAGGCGAGTGAGCAGGCTCGAAAGGAGTTGGATCACAAGCTTGCTGCGATTCACACCTCACTCCGTCGGCTGATTGGATACCGGCAGGACCAACATCCCGTCAGTAGACAACGACGATTGGATGCTCAATCTCCGGAAAAGTCTGGTTATGCTCCTAAAAATCCCGCTATCACTCAGCAACAGTGTAAAAAGCCAGGTAAATTTGGTTTGCTAGTCTCTGGATACTTGTTATCCAATCCTTGCAGTACAAATTGTGAATCCTTGGTTCCCAGAAGTCGTGATTAAAAACAATCTCGGGAAATGTTCTGCAGCACGCTGGTTTACTGGGCATTGCTAAATAATTAAGTTCACAAAGTCACGGGCAGCGGATGCTGACAATGCAATATCCCGGTGCATAGAATAGAATGTTGGAATCGGGTAATACGACGTCGGCATCATGTGACACCGTTCATTGAAGATACTATGTTTGGTGGGTGAACTTCTGCTAACTCCTACCAAAGTGGTAACATAATGATATTAGCATTATCATAAACTGCGCAAAATAACTCCCAAAATATGTCAAAAAGCGTCAGGAACGCCGGAAGGAAGCTTTGAGCGTTTAACACAAGATGTAACGCATTTTACATCACCACCAACAGCAGCGGCGGCGGCAGCAGCAGCGACAGTGGCATACCAGTAGTTTGTGATGATGCTTCACTGTAATGTAAGCAAAATTTCCCAATAAATGCATGAAAATAGAGAATGGAGAAGAGAACCTAGTCTACCTCTGAAATATCGTATACAAATATTCAAAGTCAAGGCGCCTACGTCTTGTCGATAACACACGGCCACAAACAGCTTGCCATCATGCGGAGGTAAGGTAGTTACAGTGAAACAGCTCCTTTGCGGATTCCAATGCCCAACTCCGTATTCAGTCAGTCTAAACAACTAAACGAGCGTCGGACACACTTCTAACGCAGCTCGGTTGGTAGACGACAGCGAACCTCTAACTACTGCCGGTTGTTAGCCGTGTCCTGTAAAATTTCGATCCAAAAGTGGGACGAATCGTGTGGAGTCCAGCCTAGAAGGTAAGGTTGTCCAAAGTTGCCCCGTCCAGTTTCCAGTTACTTTGTTTCCCTTTGCTCACTGAAAACCACCTCAACTCCGAAGATATTAACGGCGCAAAAGCGACTCCTGATACACGCAGTACTATGGAATGGTTATCCACCGACACACTAATATTGGTCGAGCCTTCCTGAAACTCTAAAACATATAGATTGCCCGAACTTCATTACAGCACTATGATCACTGGTGATTTTGTTTTTCAGGTTTTGAAAATCAACTACTAACTGACGTGTCAAGTACTGCTCGCGGAGCTCAATGGCCAAGTGATTGTGGTGAGAGCCGACAAGAACTGTGTGCCGAGTCCCACTCCCAGCTCGGCTACCTTTACCTTATGAGTCTAAACTAAGACGAAACCATCGGTCGTGGAGTTCAGGGATGAGAGACAGCCACACCGAAATCCCCCACTTTTGATTTTGTTAGCATGTCTGACTCACAGTGGGATGGACTGGGGGTGTGGGGTGCTTGGTGTCTCTGACGCGCGCGCACCAAGCGCACAGATAAACTAAGTGAATCTTTTCATTGGTAGTAAAATGGTTTTGGCTCCTGGAAGGGTTTGAAGGGTTGTGTAAGTTCTGCGACTAGTCGCAGTGGTTGCGTTTACTTGATATTTTACGCAGATCAGGTTTAAGCAATGTCAACATAAATATTGTAAGCAAATCGATTGAAATCGGTCTGGACAGACCCCTCCTAAAAATACTTATACGAAATGTGGCTGAACGCATTTTTAAGAAGTTTCACAAGCCGACTTGAATGGTTAATTGGACATGCTCATGAGTTCCATGCTTTGGCAGTTTCCAGCAATTATGTGATATTTTTGGCAGATATAAGCGTAGAAAATAGGGTTATGGAACAGTGGTGTCCTTCAACAGAGGAGTTGATAATGCTGCCGCCCAAAGGAAACGGTACCCGTTAAATACAATTTTAAGCCTAGGGGCTCATCGTCTGCGATCTAGTCGAAACAGTGGTTTTTATCACGTAACTCGATAGTTGAAAATTAAAAAAACCAAGGAATTAGATAGAATCCACAGCTTTAGTTCCTGACTTGTGGGCTGGACCAAACTTCAAAACGATGCGTTTTTGCTCCAAAGATGCTCTATTATTGGCGTGCATAGATGGTTAAGTGTTTTGCGTAGGACAGAATGTATGTGTCAAGGCAATATGATATTGACCAACCACAGTATGGGCTTTAAGCTGGTATATATTGTTGCGGGCCCGTCAAATATCCCCGCAAAAACGCGCCAGAAATTCCTGCATAATGGCTGTAGAATGCTGGGCCCAATTCCTCCCCATAACGTAGCAGTGTTCAGCCACTCCGAGACGCGGCCCAACTGCGTACCTGTTGACGATGTTCTTTTGCAAACCAACACCCCGTCCTGGTAGCATATTTCCCTAACTTAATGACCCATTGCATTGGCTGTGATTCGCCCTTTGTTGATCGTAAAAGAGCCTTCAGAGGACCACCTGTCTTGCTTCCTCTTCACCTTAGTTGGGAGTCGGTCGGTCACGTGATTTTGTGTGCGTTGTTAGCGGGCAGCGTTCGCATCTAAGTCACTAGCGCGCGTCTACCGTAATACGTGCGGTTAGGATGATTCTCACGCTCACACAATTTCCGTCTCACCCCGGGCTAAGCTAAGGGCATCGGGCCGGCGCAAATCTGTTCGATTTGATAGCGTTCCAAGCCGTTACCGTAGACGTGCTCCAACCGTCCCAGTGACAAGCTTATCAAGCGTTACGCAACCATAACAGATACATCCTCATTACACACATAACACGACTTTCTGTCTAGTGTTGACGCGTCATTAATCTTCGAGTTTTTGGTGACAGCTGCTTTGTTTTCCAAACACTAGTGTCACAAACACGTGCGAACAAATCATTCAATCAATATTTGTTAGCAAGTTTCTAACAATTGCATGGAAAGTGACATCTACCCCGTCATAAAATTTATTCTTTTCCTCAATGGAACACTATTCTCTCTAGCAAGCTAGGAAATATAACTCCTGTTAAACTGCACAGCAGTCCGTTTCTTATCATATCGAAGTCGCCTCCAAAGATGTCAAATTGGGCACGATTTCCTACTCTTTTTGTGGCGTACTATCTTCAATATGCGTGAGCCTTGTGTCATTAATAGAGCAATTAAAGTTAAACACCTTGAAATCTTATAATTAACCATAATATCATGAAAGTATGAACAAGGATCTAACGACGCATCCGGTATTCAAAGGAAGTGTCTATGTACCTGAGGAATGCCGCCAGCTACCCTCACAGAGGAGGCCAGTACGCACAAGTGCGTTTAAATCGTCAAATCGGTTGCTTCCTTTTCCCCTACTCTAACATTGTACGGTTTCAACACAGCGCCTGCTTCACGCATACTCAGTCCCGGCAAGTAGCCTAAAATGGGATAGGTGGCTCCTGCGAACGTGATCAGTGTCATCTAACTACATATCTTCGGGGCATCCTGGGCAGAGCACAGTGGTCTTGTCTTGTTGTTAGGAGGAAATTGATAGAAATATTCGTCACCAGCTAGATGCTGTGACTGGGAAGAACTAACTATTCGTAGACACAGATGACCAGTTGCTTAGGGTGCTCAGCGTATAATGGTTTTAGATTCAACACATACAGCAGAACCTGCCGCATCGAAGCCCTGTGTCTGCCCTCTTTGACTGGTGGATTGTTGTCCTCCTATACGTTGATATATTACTATTTGGAGGCCACAAGGATAGCGTCTTCGGTACCTTGAATACCAGAGTTGGCACAATGATCTTCGTGTGTAAATTGAAAGATGGCTAACTGTGGTAACTTGGATAAGGTTAAGAACGGCATACCGTTTGCTGATTGATGTAGCAGTATTTCGCATACTGTTGATGGGAAGCCGACATGTGTGCCTTCAGGGAGGTCAGCAGCAGTACTCAGCGAAGCCAACAAATGAGATGTGCTTGACCTTCTTCGTCTATGCAGAATAGCAGTTGTTTATCCGATAGAACTTCCCGTACCAAGAAAGCAGCAAACACAGGATCTCCCTCGATTGTTTCGATTGCATGGTCGACAAGAGAATGAAATAAAGAAGCGCTACCGCTCCCCAGCTAGTTTGTGCAGAGTTTCATGTAAAAATCAGAATACCCTAAGTTATGCAACGTGGAGATCTCATATACCTTTTGAAGTAATTTCATAGACTACCTAGACACGATCAGCACTACAAAAAGTGCTGCCGATTAGATCACGGAGGACATGTTCTTTGTGTGGAAATCAGTAGTTCTACCGAACATTATGTGACACCAAGGATATATTATACCGGGTAGTATGCTGAAGACATTTGTCTTATTAAAAACATTAAGCTGTAAACAATGTCTAGGATTATTGGCTTTCCCGGCAAACTCTAGTTGAATAATCAACAAGAATCAGGAAGTGTTTTGATAAGCACATGGCTTTGTCTAGTACCCACGATCCGCATAGGGTACAAGAAATGCAACGCTGTTCACGCGAGACAAACCAGAACGGACGGTGTAATACAAAACACCTCAGTGCTTGCTTATTGTTGTATATGCTGAATGGTAGAAAGATTCTGGTCATA